CACCAAATTGGCAATGAATATCTTCAAATACCAATGAATATACATGTAGTTGAAATAGCTTATACACCTCCTAGTCGGTGTATAACCTATAATATCCACAATTTGCAATCAAAAAATTCTCCCAATCAAAACCCATCCTACAGTATTAACTCACCACTGATGTCATAGTGAAACTTATTATATACAGTTTATTACTGACTCCATTATCAGTAGCACTTCCGAACATTACTGCAGTGTTATTAGTAACTTTTGTTAGAGTGAAGGAATCAATAGGAGGTGGTCTGTCTCCAGTAACAACAGGAGATATCCATTGATCTAATAATAATGTACAAACATTCATGTACACTTACTTACCACATACACACATGCATACATTATACACATTCATCAAACATATGTACATGTATGTGTATATGTGTGTACATTATTATTTATACATACACATCATGCATAGACACACATCACTATCACATGATACACACACACACACACACAGATACACTCATGTATGGATACACACACCATCACATACACCACACCTGTACACATGAAGGAGAGGTGCAGGGGGTTTCCTTATTTGAAAACCTATTCTGGTACATGTCAGTTATGATTGTTAATTGTCACACACACATAACACATTGTATACACATGTCTTCAAGAGTACATAATACCTAAAGAGAGTATCCAACAGCCCTATAGCACACCGCTGCATGAGGGCGTATTTGCTCAAAGTCACAATCCACATACTCCAGTATACTTACCATATCATGTGATCAACCATGTGGCAACATTATCTGGCCCTTAGCTTCAAAAAACTTGGCAATCTTTTCCAATACAAAAAAGAAACTTGAAAAAAGGCTAGAAAGATGAACTACAAAGGCAGTGCTGCTAGTATCCAGGACTATGTGCCCCAATCACTTGCTAACTAGTGACAATGGCAACTCAATGTCTACGCAATAATTATAATCATTGATAAAGTATACTGGAGTATGCGGATTGTGACTTTGAGCAAATACATCCTCATGCAGCAGTTTGTATAGGGCCGTTGATACTCTCTTTAGGTATTATACTTTTAATGTCATACATTCATAAATTCTCACATACATTACTCTTGATTATATGCACTATCATACACAGACACATCATAATGTATGTATTAGTACACACACACACAGGTCACATATAGACACACGTCATCACACACAAACACATGACACACTAACAAACACACTTAATTATTAACAATCTGTTTTATGTACATTAATATTAAATTATTCAGTTTGAAATACTGATCAACTATTGTGTATCAATGATGAGAATTACTGACCTGATGAAATCCTGTAATAATGTATCTCATTACATCTACCATCAGCTGAATACCGAGCATCAGGTTGCTTTGGAGTATTGATAGAAGATGATCCGATTCCTCCAATTATTACAAGATAGTCTTCACCGTCAAAATGAGCTGATACCATTCCACAGTAGCCCTTCTTCATTGGACCATGATCAGACCTAGAATGAGAGAGTTTCCTCCACTTGAATGAATCCACATTGAAACAATGTAAGCTGTTTTGGTATTGATAACTATGACCACCTTGTCCACCGAAATAATAAATGTCCTTCCCTATTGCAACAGTTGAGTAGCCACAGGTACCTGGTGGTGGGGTACCAGTAGTAGTTTTTTTGTCCCAAGCACCAGTTGGTAAGTGATACACCTCCATCACGTTGTGTACTATAGACTCGGCCCCACTCCACATATATAAGTAGTCTCCTACCTTTACTGTGGAGTGTCCACTTCTCTTCACTGGTTGATAGTCTATAAAAAAAACAAGACTGAGGTAGTGAGGTACCGCACTGAGTAACAGAGTAACAGTAATATAGTGATGAGTTAGAATAAGGACAGGATATAGAGGAGTAAAGTAAGTGAGAGAGTAAGAGAGACAAAGAATGAATGAAAGAGATACAAAGAGAAGAGAGTAGTGGCCCTCACTTTTAGATGCCATTCTTGCAAAATACCAGCCCCACCCAAAACCACACGACAGGGCGTGGTCATTTGAGGCCACACGCACCCAGAGGAGGTAGGACACGGTTGACCTTTGATTAATAATTGCAAAGTTCAATTGCATTCCATTGGTATCACGTGATGCAAAATGGCCAAATTCTTCCACTAGTACCACTTCTAACAATAATTTAGAGCATCAAGATAGAGTCAATGGGACTTTCATTAATTCACTAGAAACTATGATAGGTGCAGTAATTTTTAACATCTTAAACTAGCGAAGATTGATTTATCTGATGAAGTAAAGAAGAGAATCAAAGTTAAGATGCACTGTCTCTTTCTCCTTCTTATATTCATGTCTATAATCAAATAAGAAATATTCTCCATACAATGGTGATTTTAGCAACCGTCAAGGGTCGTCATAGATCTCTCTAGTTTCTGCAGTAGTAGCTAGTTTTGTGATACAATCATCAGAAAGCTGCCATTTTTCATCACGTGATACCAATGGAATGCAATGGACCTTTTGCACTTAAGCGATTCTAATTAACGCGCACCCAAAGTGGTGGTAAAATGGCGGATTTTTGGAGGAAAGACAGGCTGAACAATCTTCTCTTTTATCCAGCCATTCTAGCTGTAGGAGCCACTTTGAGTTGTCCTTTTGTTTCAGTATACTCTATTTATCTCTTCTGTAAGCTCTTTGGTTGCTGTTTTGGCTTTTATAGCATTTTATCATAGGAATATTCTCACCCATTGGCAATTCCCGTTTTTCTAAATTTTGCTTTCAGGAGCCAAGGCGCTTGCCCCTCCATTGCCATGAAGACATAAGTGTATTCAGCTGAGTCCTATGACTAGTGTCTATCATCAGACTTAGTCTCAGTCCATCAGAACCAGGTACGGTGGAATAACTCACTCAGTTGTCATGTTGCAGCTGGAGTGTGGATGATTATGACCATCTTTTCACTTCTTAAAACCATAGGATTGGTCTTTAATCACATGTAAGAAGCGTTCCAAGAAACATAAGTGTGCTGGAATAGCTCAGCATCATGTAACTAGCTCTTAATAGTAACATCCAGTAGAGTAAAACACTTCCATCGTTACATGATTTTAATATTTTATTTATGATAAAATTGATGTCAATTACAATAATTATCTTTGTTATTGTCAAAATAGTTTCTAATTATTGTGTATATACTGTTAATATCATAAAAGTATGAGTAAATACATAAATAGTCGTCTATACAAATGCAATGTAGTGACCTAGTGATAACAACAATAATAGTTCTAGCAACAACACCCATAATGTTTTTTATAATTTAAATAATAAGTAAAACTGTTGGGAGAGGATACAAATGGTTTAGAGCCATGAACGAGTCCTGAATGTGATGATTCCTCTCTGCAAGTACTGGATAGTGACACAGGGTATTAATATGACATGAGGTGCTCATACAATACAACCAGTGAATGTACAGATAAAGAATGAGCTCTTGCATGCCTCAACTATCTATAAAAGAGCCAACCTATAGTTTTAAGAAGTGAAAAGATGGTCATAATCATCCACACTCCAGCTGCAACATGACAACTGAGTGAGTTATTCCACCGTACCTGGTTCTGATGGACTGAGACTAAGTCTGATGATAGACACTAGTCATAGGACTCAGCTGAATACACTTATGTCTTCATGGCAATGGAGGGGCAAGCGCCTTGGCTCCTGAAAGCAAAATTTAGAAAAACGGGAATTGCCAATGGGTGAGAATATTCCTATGATAAAATGCTATAAAAGCCAAAACAGCAACCAAAGAGCTTACAGAAGAGATAAATAGAGTATACTGAAACAAAAGGACAACTCAAAGTGGCTCCTACAGCTAGAATGGCTGGATAAAAGAGAAGATTGTTCAGCCTGTCTTTCCTCCAAAAATCCGCCATTTTACCCACCACTTTGGGTGCGCGTTAATTAGAATCGCTTAAGTGCAAAAGGTCCATTAAATTTTGTTAAACCACGCCCTTTTAGGCCGTGACCACACCTTTTTTAACATGGCGGAGTTTTTGAACGATCATAGGCAACGTTGAATACCTTTTTAGCTTTATAATGGCATCATAGAAGGACTGATTTGGCCTTTTCCTCATATGTAAGTTGTAGAACAGCTTTTCTCTCCAAAAGTAGCTTATTATTTGTTAATTTTAATTAACAAAATAATTCCCATTGGTTTCAGGATTTCAATGCCCTCTTTTGCCCCCCTGGCTACGCCCCTCGTTGTAATTTAAGAAACTAGGCTCAGTATCATGAACAAAAACAAATCAAAATGCAGTAAATGCACACTGATTATAAGTTGTGTAATCATTGCAAACCATTATAAATTATAATTAGGACTTGTACAGGAAGTGGTTTGCAATGATTACACAACAATAAATAACCTTAAAACTAATTGCAATCAAGAACACGTACATAAATATCAATAAGAAAGCCTGCATACACTAAATTTAATGACAGTTTCCAATGGTTTATCACACACAAAACAGTCTTGAATGACTAGACATTGCCTTATAAATATTATGTCAAACTATAAGTACACATGCACCATTATGTTAATATGGTCATAGATACTGGATATGGTGTTGCACTATGATCTATCTAGATATGTGGGTGTATAACATTACCAGCATTGGTATCATGGGCTACTATGAAATTGCATAAGTTTTTGTAATAGCTCCAATACAGTCTTATGCCTCTAGTATATAACTCATTTAAATTATCTCCATACATCAGTCATAGCTATGGATAGTTGCTTATCAGTTAGCCAATGATCAAACATAGTTTATCCATGTTTATGGACCATACAGGCATAGTATTTTATAAGGCTGTCTGTTTGTATTAATGGCTATCTATGGATATGCATAGCTATCACTAGTTATGGTTGCTCATGGTTCATGCATGCCCTGGTTATCCAAGGTTATATAATACTTATGTATGTAATACATATTGTTTTTTTATAGTGTCAGTGAAGATGAACAAACAAACAAATGACAATAATAAAAACAACAATAATAATCCTCTGCTTTTAGTTCCTCTCTTCTTATTTTTCTCTTAATACTCACAAAATTAATAGCACTATAATTATTATTAAATAATAATATTCATCATGACATGTATTTGCTGGTGCGTCTCTCACTGAAATGTTACCAGCATCTCATTATTCAGCTCCCATATACTCGTCTGTCTTCATTTTCTCAAATCAGAGATAATGAATACTTCTATATCATTGCTCAACCTACAAACAAGATTAACTGAAACAACAAATAATGTGCAGGTTTATTGATTACCATTCTTGATTGGTTTATGCCACTTTGTCACTTCAACTTAATCCTAACTCCATTGATGAATTTCAATGCAATAGATGTACAGCTATCCTTAACTGCAATTCCAAAGCTGCCTCTTACCTACACAAGTATAGAGTAGCAGCTAACATCTCTTGCCTGCATGCACAATCATAAAGAGTTACATGTACAATGTACAAGTATAACATTAATATGCTCATTTTAAAATTGTCATAACTTGGAAAATATTTGTCAAAATCAGCTCAAACTTTCTACACATCATAAGAGCATCAATATGCATCAAAAAAATTAATAAAAATTTGGGGTGATATTGAGCCATTTTTGGAAAAAACCATGGGTTATACTTTTTTCGAAAGCTGGTTGATTTTTAAAAATGCTAATAACTCGATAAATATTTGTCGAAATCAGCTCGAACTTTCTACACATCATAACAACATCAATATGTATCAGATGATTCAATAAAAATTTGGGGTAATTTTTTGAGCCATTTTTGGAAAAACCATGGGCTAGAGCCTCTGCTTTTTATTTCCAAAACTGGCTGATTTAAAAAATCTAATAACTCAAAAATTTGTTGCCAGAATCAGCTCAAACTTTCTACATAGCAGAAGGACATCAATATGCATCAGAATATTTAATAAAAATTGGGGTAATTTTTGAGCCATTTTTTGAAAAAAACCATGGCTATAATAGTCTTCGCCTTTTTTTGAAAATTGGCTGATTTTTAAAATTGCAACTAACTCAAGAAATAGTTGTTGGAACCAGCTCAAACTTTCAACACAGCATAAAGACATTAATATGCATCAGAAAATGTAATAAAAATTTGGGGTGATTTTGGAGCCATTTTTTGGAAAAAACCATGGGCTATATAGCCTTGGGTATTTTTTTAAAAAGTTGCCAATTTCTTAAAATGGCCATAACTTTAAAAATATTTGTCAGAATTAGCTCAAACTTTCTACACAGTATAAGGACATCAATATGTATCAGATAACATAATAAAAATTTGAGGTGATTTCTGAGCCATTTTTTGGAAAAAACCATGGGCTATAGCCTTGGGTATTTTTCAGAATTTTGACATTTTCTTAAAATGGCCGTAACTTGAAAAATATTCGTCGGAATCAGCTCAAACTTTCTACACAGCATAAGGACATTAATATGCATCAGAAAAAGTAATTAAAATATAGGGTGATTTTGGAGCCATTTTTTGGGAAAAACCATAGGCTATAGCCTTGGGTATTTTTCAGAATTTTGACATTTTCTTAAAATGGCCGTAACTTGAAAAATATTTGTCAGAATCAGCTCAAACTTTCTACACAGTATAAGGACCTCAGTATGTATCAGATAACGTAATAAAAATTGGAGGTGATTTCAGAGCCATTTTTTGAAAAAACCATGGGCTATATAGCCTTGGGTATTTTTTTTAAAGTTGCCAATTTTTTAAAATGGCCATAACTTGAAAAATATTTGTCAGAATCAGCTCAAACTTTCTACACAGTATAAGGACATCAATATGTATCAGATAACGTAATAAAAATTTGACATGATTTCGGAGCCATTTTTTGGAAAAAAAACCATGAGCTATAGCCTTGGGTATTTTTAAAAAAGTTGCCAATTTCTTAAAATGGCCGTAACTTGAAAAATATTAGTCGGAATCAGCTCAAACTTTCTACACAGCATAAGGACATCAATATGCATCAGAAAATGTAATAAAAATTTGGGGTAATTTTTGAGTCATTTTTTTGGAAAAGACCATTTTGAAAACTGGCTGATTTTTTTTAAATGCTAATAAATCAAAAAATAATTGTCAGAATCAGCTCAAACTTTTGACATAGCATAAGGACATCAATATGCATCAAAAAATGTAATTAAAAATTTGGTGTGATTTTTGAGCCATTTTTTGGAAAAAACCATGGGCTATATGACATTTTCACAAAAATTTAACACTTAAAATTACACAATCAATAATCAATCATTACTTCATATGAGTTATAAGATCATCAAATTGTCCATTATTTATACATACTGAAAATTAACTGAACTATCATCAAACAGTTTGCTTCTCTTCATAAGGCAAAACAACATTTACCTAGAGAGATAAATACATAAAATTAATAGTTAAATTATGAAATATGCACATACCTTAAATGGTAAGTAATGTTTATACAACTTTTGACCTTTCTAGCATTAAATTGACCTTTTAAAAGAAAGGAATTACAATATTACATTAAGGAATCATCATGTTCTGTTACTTGTAATGATCGAATCATAAAGATACTAAACTGTTATAAAGTGTCATCATGGTGTCACTAGAAATCATCAGATTGTCTGTTTCAGTACCTAGAGAGTGAAAGAGTTGAAAACAATCTAATAATTTATAATTATTTGAAATAACTATACTTTAAATGGTTAAGGCAGAAATTAAGAGATATAATAATGAAATTAATAAGAAATGAGATAAAAAGTGATCATAATACTATCATCCTCCAGTGGGTACAACCTAATGATATAATTAGGTGTAAGACATAATTAGCAGGAGGAGCTTGAGTGGTGGAATATAACAACATCAAGGTCAAAGGTACTTTATACGTACATGCAGAATGTATGTGTGTAGACACATGTACTGTACATGTATTGCAGAATAACTTAACCAAAACAATGACATATACTGGTACATCATGCACTGTAGATGCACACACGCAATGCTAAAATTAACTAAGACTTTACAAAAGATCAAAAATCAGCAATAATTAAGCAACAAATTCTAATTAACATTTCCTATTATACAACAAAAACTATACAAATCACCTAAAGAAAATAACTATTATGAACTATTAACATTATTAACATAAGTTGTTCCCAATCAGTTGTTAAAGACGAGTCTTCCTAATACCCTCAATCACGTCATCAAACTCCTTGTCATCTTCATTATCAGGAGGAGGGTTAAAGGGAGCGATCACCATATCATCACGGACAGGATCGTACCTCCATATGGCAACAAAAGGGATTGCTTGCGTAACCGTCTCTCCATCACTGACAATGTAAAGTGTAGACGTCACTTGCCAAATGACACCATGCTGTGGATTGACAATGATCATTTGACGCCTGATACTTCGTCTTTGCTGTCCTGCAGGCTGGCCAATCAGCAAAGCCATGATGTAGTGAAACGTGTACATTGTGTCAAAGTAAGAGAAAAACAAGCGTATGTTGTTTCTAACTCTGCTAGCAAGAAGACCGTCACGGTTCATTTGTGCTACAGCATCTGCTGGATTAGGCCTATCAATCCTAAAGGCTCTTCTATTCTCATCTATAGACACAAAATCAGGGCTATAGAGTCTCTCGAGATCAGTGGCCATCAGCAAGCCTAGTCTCATGACAGAAGCTGCAGTCCTGGCAAAGTTATAAGGAACGTCCTACTGGTGAGGTCCTTTGGCATTTTTCATGACTTGATCAGACTGGACCTCAGCATAAGCAGTGAGCCTTATTTTGCCATCCTTTGATTGCTCCTGAGCCCAATCCAGAGCTGCAGGGAAGTTGCTACTATTACAAATGAAGTATTGATTCATATACTCGAGACTCGTGTGTACTGCTTAGCTATGTATAACAGGTCCTGGTCGAGTAGGTTCAGTTAAAATCTCAAAGGAATAGTCTCTTATCCAAAATCACACATACACACTAGTCTTAAGAGGTTTTACACAAAGGACAAAAAGTCATTGGCACAAACAAAAGTGAGGCTAGCCTCAGGTAACAGTAGGAAGGCTATGAGGTTGCAGTACAGCTTAATAAAAGATTACACAAATTATAAAATTACTATCAATATACAAATCTCACAGTCCACCGTAGACATTCAACTGATACTATTGAGATACTAATTAACACAATTATACAAAATCCTCCACCATTTACACTCACATTAGGCTACAGAATGTACATGTATATGAAGTGCTTAATGCATGTCATTACCATATACTTTTACATATTGTACTTATCTAACACACATAAATGCGCAAGCAAGATTGGTACATATACATGTACATATACATGTATGTATGCGTACATACCGTAGGCATGTACATGTACATACATTTATGGTACATACATATGCATGTATACGTACATACATGTACTTACAGTGGCTTAATTATCAATCTTATACAATACTATGCATGTACATAATGAATCCATGTACTACACATACACACTGTTGCCTGAAAACAAAAACGAGGAAATACATGTATGACACTCACTTTCTTGCTGTGAAATTTTCAAATGAAGAGGAAAAGGATGTGAGAGTGTTCATCTTTGTTGAGACATGATGAGCAGATTAGTGGTACCTATGAACTGTAATCTCCTGATAAGTTTCACTTGTGGAGTATATCTGATAACTGATAATAAGTATTATCTATTACAAAGAGAGAGAGAGAGATGGAGTCGTAGAGATAATAGGAAAAGGATAGCGAGAGATAGCGAGAGGAGGAATTAAGGGAGAGAGATTAATTGAGACATTATTTCTATATATACAACATAACTCAGAAAATAGTTGTCAGACTCAGCTCAAACTTTCTACATAGCATAAGAACATCAATAGGTATGATCAGAAAAGTAATTAAATTTAGAGTGATTTCACACTACAGTATGGGTCCATCATGATTGCCTTGCAGTAGTCATATGCAGTATATACACTATCAGTACTCTCTCTGTGTGGATACAACTCATGGTGCAGTCTTACTCTAATGCAATAGTCCGTCTCTCCGTCCTTGAGTGTAGTGCTGTAGCTTTTCTTGAGCTTCTTTTCCGCGTCTTTCTTCATCTTCCCAGCAATGGCATTGTGGCAACGACCTCTGGAGTGACAGGCATTGGTTTAAGACCTTCTGCTGGAGTAGCAGGTAGATTGTCTGGTTCATTACGATCCCTCCCGCTGGCCATCGAGAACAGACTTCAACCTACAGGTGGTCCGGCTTATGGCAGTCACTGAGAAGATTAAAGAAACGCTATGAAGCATCAGATTCAGATTCATGCATTATTAATGTATGTGGCTTCCTACCACAAAAATGTGAGAAATTAAACAATCTTCAAAAATCTTGTTACAAACAATAAACAAAAATAAATAATTAAATTTCAAATGGATTAAAAAGGACAAATTCAGTGTATGCATGTCAAAAACTGAGCAAAACTATCTAAGACTACAGCACTCTTGATATAGACTATAAGACTAATGATAAAAGTCAATTATTGATCTTGATACTTTTCACAGGCTCTGTCTGATAAAAGAAACCTTTCAACAGAAGCTTTTACTTCTCCAAACTTATCAGGATAATCTTCACAAACTTGAAGTACTTTCCTCCAGGTCACTCCTTTATTGGACTCTATCCACCTCTGAAACACTAGTATGAGGTTATGAGTAGCAGCTCCTGGAGTAGGCAACAGGTCATTCACTTTAACATCAAGTGCAGAACCAATGATCATGTAATGGGCAGCAGAACTGTCAAACAACCACCGAAGATCACTCATTAGTGGCTTCTTGTCTAGGATATCACATAGTTTATATTAGTTTGTAAAAATAAAAATTTTGATTATAATAATAAATAATTATTACCTTCAATTGAAACAGGACGATCTTTTATATTAGCTAAAATGATAAGATACATATAACAGATAATGAATACTGTCCCCAATGACTATTAGTGCATCAATACTACTAGTTATAAAAACCAGTTAGGGCACAGTTAATAGTATTAGATTGCTATCAATAAAACAGGAATGCATGTAGAAGAGTTCTTCCATTGGTTTATATATAGTTTTGCATATGTGTGTGAGTGTGTTCATGCATGTTGTACCTTTTTCAATTCTTTCTAGTACTGTTCTCTTTTGATATTCATTAATGTCCAGTACTGACTGTACTACCAAATCACCAGTACTAGATACTAATAATAATAATAATAATAATAATAATAATAATAATAATAATAATAGTAATAAATTAATAATAATAATAATAATAATAATAATAATAATTATTATTATTATAACTAGACGAATGTAAAACATTGAAGGGGCGAGCCTCAGCAAGCAAAGCAATATGCATAAAATAGATCTTGAGAGACTAACAATACTCATGCATGGGATGAAACCTTTTTGTATGAACCTTTTTGCATGAAAAGGTCAAATCACCCACATACTTTTGACTATTTCATCGAATGTAAACCTAGTTTTAAGGCTGGTTTACAATGTTACACAAGTCCTGACGTTATATTGATGCAGAAATAGAATCTGGTTCTATTGCAGCGGAAGGCATGCGTCAAAAGGTGAAATCGCCCACACTTTTAATTAAAAATTGACACTCTATGTTGACCTAATGTCATATTGTGAACTAGCCTTTAAGCCTGGTTTACACTCGACATAAAACACATTGCAAAATTGAAATTTGACCAATTTTACGTCAACTTCAAAGCATTTTTGCGTCAAAAGGTCAAATCGCCCACACACTTTTTGACCGTTTCATCGAATGTAAGCCTAGCTTAACATACTCGTGTCGTTTATGTGGGGCTCGCTCAGGCTCACCCCAATTATTATTATTATTATAACAATTACTGACAACAAGAGTAGATCTACTCTTGCTGACAATGAATACACAATAAAGTTTATTGAAAAAAATTAATTTTATGATGAAATTAAGATTTTGACAAAATTTTTGCAATTTGGAGCTATACTGTATTACATATTCAATACACATTGCATCTACTAATGTATACATGTACTCACTGATTTCAATAAATCTTGTATCACTGACACTTGAAGCACCTTTATATCCTCCAAACAAAATTATCCAGTGAGTGGTTTGTGTCTCATTCCAAACTGAGAGAGAATGACTCCATCTATTAGTGACACTGTCTGGTATATTAGTCTATATAATTAAAAATAATGAAAAAATAATATATCTGGTTAATAAAAATGATTTCTCTCTCCTCCTCCTTTCTCCTCCATTGTCAATCACACTCACAAAAATGACAACAAAGGCAAGCTTCATGAGCTCTTTCTTTAAAACTACTCATAGCGTAATCTTTCATTTCTTTATCATATGCACATGTCTATACTGACCAGTTGTACAGTATTAAATTGATTATCATTGAGGAGTGACGTACATGTACAGACAGACAGATCACAGTGGTCTCGTACTAGTAGGACTCACTCATGCTCACCACAATTATATTATAATACTTACCAGTTCTTTCCATTCCATTTTGTTTATATTTAACAACCAACAGTCATCCTCTCCACCCACCACTAGTAGGTGTGGTCTTGAGCTACAGTTGATCAATACACTGGAATGAAAACGTCTCTCCTTAGGCCATTGTACTGATCCTCCAGGATTAAGAAACTTTGTACAATTCTGAAATTAAAATATTTAATAAACATTAGGTACATGTAACTCTAACAAAATTGCATTTACAGAGGTGGACTAGTCTCGTCGTCCCACCCCTTCGCTTTTGAAAGGAGCGGGGCCACGAGACTAGAGCTAGGTGGGCCTGATCTGGGCAGGTTGTTTGTTTAATCACCTGTATTAACTGCATGTATAAACCCACAATAATGAATAGCAATGTGTGGCAGTATTCTCTTTCCTGTGAATGACGTTTATCATTTATGATGATAGTTATTGAGATACCATAACTGAAAATTTTTTCATGTCACCACTGTGGAGGCATACTATTAAAATGCTGGAGAGGCAGGCTACAAACAATTGCAGAGCTAAAAATAAAACTTGCAGTTTTTCAGTTTTGAGGCTTTATTCTTTTTTTAAAAAGGTAGGAAGTGTATAGAGCTTCATTGAAAACAGTGTGACTTTACCTCCACAATAGCAGCATGATTTACAGTATCCCGGTAAATACCATTATAAATCATAAGCATACATGCATTCACAGGAAAGATATGACTACTATGTATTTTATTGCAGTGACCTATATAATTATACTAGTAATACACTCACCACTGATGTATCAGTAAATTCAAATATATATACATCATTACTCTTTCTATGACCAGTATCACCACCAAACAATATAGCAGTGGTATTAGTTACTGATGTTAAAGTGAAGATTTTAATAGGAGGTGGTCTGTCTCCAGTGACAGTTGGTGAAGTCCATTCACCTAAAAATAATAAAAAATAACATGAACACACACACACACACACTGCTCTCAAGTGGTCACTGGCTCAAATAGACACCCTCCATTGGCAAAAATATATCTACTGCCCTCCATTAAATGACACATTATGATAAGATGGTGGAACACTACTAGTCACGTACACTATGGCTACCTTTGCTCAAGTTAATCAAGTCTACCTTATATTGTATAGACTGTGTGGTATCTCTTTATGGCAGATACCAGACCCTTGACCTTGGTTTCAGCTGTGGGTCTGCTATCTGCCATAAACAGTCTAAATACATCAATTTAATTACTGTATATAAACTACATTTATAAACCTAATATCATATTATACTGACCAGTTTTTAATCTGTACATATGCACTTCATTGCAACAGTGATTATTACGATCTTTTCTGTACTGGGCACCAGGTTGTGGTGGGGTATTATTAGAAGATGGTCCCTCTCCTCCAATTACTACAAGATAGTCCTCATCATTCACTTTTATTGCTATCATGCCAGAGAAGTACTTCATCATAGGACCATGATGAGATGTAGTAGGAGAGAGTTCCTTCCAATTGAAGGTATCAACATTAAAACTGTATAAAATATTATATAATATTTATCAGTAACTATTATGTTTACCTGTATAAACAATTATGACGACATTCATGATGACCACAAAAGCCTCCAAAAAAGAATATTTCATTTCTAATGACAGCAGCAGCATATCCATAGACACCAAGTGGAGGGTCACCAGTGGTAGGCTTTTGTACCCACACACCAGTTGGTACATGACAGACCTCCACTACAGAACACACTGATTTCTTCTTCTCACTATTGTGTACTCCAGGGAGATGTAGCTGGTGCCCACCCCACATGTACAGGTAGTCTCCTACCTGTACTGTAGAGTGACAGTGCCTCCCCACTGGTTGATAGACTATAGATAACAAGAGGACACAGTAATATAGTGAATAGTTATAATAAGCAGAGGATACAGAGGAGTAAAGTAAGGGAGAGAAAGAGAACAGGTCACTTACTTGATGACATCTCCTCCAGTAAACAGCCTCTACAGTCTACACTATTAATAATAACTAGCTCAATAATAACATACATACCTCACCTGACATACCATACACTGCACTCACTTAATGTAGCAATGTACATTGTAGCTTGTGTTATCATGAATAATTTCAACATCAGAAAAATACACAATAATAGACTGACTTGATTGGATCAAACAAATGGCAGCAAAATCCGTCACTTACCGTATAGCGGAAAATTTTCGTGGCCCAAAATTTTCGTGGATCCGTCCAAAAATCAATTTCGTGGGTTTAATTTTCGTG